TGACAAAGTGTGTTTGTCGGCTGTCAACCTTTGCTAGTGTTCTGGAAGAATGAGTTTATTTGAGACCTGAATGAAGTGTTTTGGTAGTTGTAGTGCATTTTGAATGTGAAATGAACTGCTTTGCCAAGCTGACGGTCAGTTAGGAGGATTGTGTGAAGAGTTTTGCAAAAGTGACCTAAGTATTGAGACATGTGTCCTAGCGTCTGTAAAAAACTGTAAAGCGGTGTTGTGTCCTGAGCTGCTTTACTTTGTTTTTCCCAGTGAATCTGTGAAGCTAACGATGAACCCCAGTGTACTGCTGTCACTTTGATATATTGCCTCGTGCTTTGCTGCACAATGAATATTAGACAAAGCAGGCAGACTCCACTCCATTCAGCTGATAGATAACACAGAAGCAATTCAATTCTTACATTCTTTCATATTTCTTATCTTGATAGAGAGTTGTGCTTGCCTTGGGTGTGATGGCAGTGAGTATTTCATCATTAGAAAAAAAGCAGAGTGTTTATTGGTGTGCTGATGATGGATTGTTGTTCAGGCAGTAGGGTCACTCCTCAGGTGATGGATTATGTTAATGGCTGATTTAACTATGATCACACGGCATATTTCTCCTGCAGTTCGGGACTAATAATGCATCATGATTAAGCAGAGTGTCTCATACACCTGCAGGGCTTTTTTCTTTTCAGAGAAAAAAATGACACTGATGAACTAAAACATTATCGCCAAGGCAACGTTTACATTTTGGTTATTCATGCAAGAAAACAGCTGGACTCTCTGAAAGTGCCCTATTTTATCAGACGAGTCCATTAGGTCACTGCTTCTTCCAGCCCTTACACAGACTTCAGAGGTCTTTGTTTCACATGTGAATGGACAAAATGTTCAGAATGCTCTTTTCTGATCTGTATCGTCAGCTCGTTCTGCCGTAGAAGCACACAGGTAACACCGTCTTATCGAGGGAATGTTTCTTGGATACACAGCCAGACTTTTTGAATGTCAAAGTGGCCATTAAGTTGTCCTGGTAGAGTACAGATCATAGGACACAGCATCCAAAAAATTAAAAAATATAAAAAGCCAAAAGTACAGTGCTCTACACTTACCAGCTTTGGGAGAAAGGCCAAGTTCCAGAATGCACCGCAGTGGGAAATTTCCAGTCCCTGAGTTTAAAATGATGTTGCTTTGCTGCGACAGGGTGAAGCTGGAGAGTAATGGGAGTCATTGTTTTCGATGTTTTCTGTGTGCGTGTACTAAAGCATCAGAATCATTTTATTATGATTCTGAAAAGTTGTCCAATTTTTTTCAGGCCCCTTAAAATAGGCGCTGTAATTCCAAAACAGTTGGTGCAATATTAACAGAATGGAAAGTCATTGTTTGGTTTCAAATTCACTGCAGTGCTGCACAGAGCCAAAATTACAGAAATGACATCATCGTCCAAGTACTTAACTATAAGAACTCTCACAGGTTAGTCCTAAGAGTAGTATTAGCAGGTGTATTAGTATTAGTTAGTTTATACAGTGCTCATAGTACTGAAAACCGAGTATCTATCATCTATATCAGACCTTAACTCTGATGTATACATATTGCACAAGCTCGCGACCCTCACTCATGATGGAGTGCTGCACAAAGTCAAGAAAGCAGGAGCTGTAAATGGTTTCAGAGGCAGATCAATGTTAGAGAGAAAGCAGGACCAATACTCTAAGCGATGGGCGTGACGTTAATCGGCACACTCTTACTAATTTGGTTCTACATTTCTTATTGTGTGTCGTTTTGTTTGCCTTTGCCGCTTTGCCGTGTCCGTGCTCTCACACCCTCAGCTGCTCGCTTCCTCTCAAATCGTTCACCTAGATGGATGTGTGCACTATACTCGGGTAAACTTGACGGGCCATCTGTCAGCGAGCCAAACGTTCACCGTGCTGACCACACGTGAAGGTGACTAAAATCCTTCTTTGCATGTGGTCACTTATTAGGAGGATCTACGTAGTTTAACAGGAAAACTGTTCTGTCTTGAGTATTATTGTTATTATTACTGTCAGAACTGTCAGAGCAACCTCCTATAACGGCCCTCAGCACTTCACTCTCCCTTAGATATTAGAATGCAAATGGACCTGAAGTATTTCCATTCAAAGCCAAGCAAGAAAAGAGAGGAGAAAAAAAGTCTCCTTTTAGGAGTGTTTGATGTGTGAATTGATGTGAGAATAAAAGAGAGATTTCTCTTTCTTTTTTGTTACCGTGCAGATGTGCTCCTAACAGGGAGAGGGCTTTTCACAAGTGCGTTTGATATACATGAGTAAACACATTTCCCATGCTAATTTTCTGCACTGCGGTTCATCTCTCACCCACCGAGTCCAGGAATAGTAAACTGTTGACCCGGTGACTCCAGATGCCAGACTGGGCCCCGTCCCTGATTGGACTGCACGGTGCTTCAATCAGCTTAATTGGTCAAGACTACAGTATCAGTGAGAGGGGAGAAATGACAGAGGAATGCTGAAATTGGAAGAAAATGAAGAGCTGCGTCGCGCACACCTCATTATGTGTTGATTGACACGTCTGCAGAGGGGGAGGGGGGCGGTGATCTGAGCATCTCAGCGGCGAAAACAAAACAAGCTCAGTAGAGCTTTGATTCTGGGTCCTTTTAGGATTTTGCTTATTAGCTTTTTTTTTAGTTGACAGCAGCAGATACACTTTATGCAGTAAGTATATATTTAAACCCAAAATAGTTTTGTGTGTGCAACAGGGATTTATGAGGGCTGTTGTCAGTCTGAGGTGCTGTGTGTCTCTAAATACATGCATTTAAATGTGTCAGCAAAAGCACATTCATGCATTTTCATGAGTGGTTTCAAAGAAGCGCAAATATTGTTTTTAATTTGTAGAACCTCGGTTCTAATCAGGTTCTACTTTGCACTTTGATTGTGTTATGTGAGCTGTGTGTATAAATGAATTCCTTGAGCATGGCTAATCCTTTGAGGTACATGTCACCATCACAATCAGAATATTTGACTTCCAAGTCTATGAAAAATTGTCATTCTTACTGACACACATGTGAAAAAATATTCACATTTTTCCCAAAGAAATTCTCGATTTTTGGGGGCTTTCTGCAAAATGTTGCAGGTGCCACTAGCCAGGCATAGGGTTAGTGCTAACGCCTGCGATGACTCAGAGCTCTGCTGGATGGTTTTCTCCTTCTGATCAGTGTTTCATGGGGCCCAGAACGGCTTCAACAAACTGGCTTCATGCTGCATTATTTGCACAGATCATTTTTTCTTCTTGAGAAAAATTGTCCTTGTTAAATGTATAAAAAATGATAAACAGACGAGCCTAAGTTTATGCAGAAATCTCATGGTATTGGTTGCTTTTCTTCTCCTTGTGATGGCCTTGGCAGCAAGAACTGCAGTCAAGCATTTGTGATAATTGGCAATGAGTCTGTCGCATCACCGTGGGGGAATTTTAGTCCACTCTTCTATGCAGAATTCTTTTAATTCATTTAGGTTTTCGAACTGTTATTCATTCATTGTGCATTCATACTCCGATGGATGCATCGGAGAGCAAGTCGGGGTTAGTATCTTACCCAAGGATATTTGGTATGCAAACTTGGGGAACCGGGGATCGAACCACCAATCAGCAGCTGACCTGCTCTACCTCCTGAGCTACAGCCACCCCACTCTTCCATAAATGTCATTTGTGCCCAATCTCTTACTGCTGAATCATGAACTTGGACCTTAACTGAGGTGAGTCGCGTCTGCAGTTAAGGTCAAAGAACCCAGATGTTGTTCCGAGTTCTTTTGTGACCTCCTGGATGAGCCGTCGATGCTCCTTGGCGTAATGTTGGTAGGCCGGTCACCTGTGAGAAGGTTCACCGCTGTTCCAGGGTTCTAGATTTGTAGATAATGGTTCTCACTTTGGTTCAGTGGAGTCCCAAAGCTTCGGAAATGCTTTTGCAACCTTCGTAACCAGTGACATTGTTCATCATCTGGCATGATATGTTGCATTTCTACACATTTTAGTTTACCCTACTTTGTCACACAGGTTATATTTAAGGGATTTATTGATTCAACAGGCCTGGGTGTGGCTAGTGAAGTTACACTCAGCTTTCAAATAAATGGGGTTTAATCACAATAAATTCATGATTGAACAAAGGGTGGAGGGTTGGATAGGGTTTTTTATGCTTTAATAAATGAAACATCACCTTAAACTGTTATCTTTGTCTAATATTAAAATGTGTTGATGATCTGGAACATTGAAGTTTGACAAATATGCAAAAAACGAAGAAATCAAAGCAAGGATGCTGAATGATGTCCCTTGTGGGTGAATGCAGACTGATTTTCGTGTAATAGTGCCCTCTTATTCTGTGCTGTCAGCAGTCCTCTGGCCCACCCTTTACAGGAAATAAAAAAGGAGGCAGCAGCTCCAACCAGTTCTGCATGTTTGCTGCGATTTCATGCACATCTCACACTCCTCCACACTTTCCTTCTGTCGCTTCTTCTCCTTTCTCTGAAGAACTCCCATAATAGCGAATAGACTACCAGCAAAATCAAGCCAGATTGATCAAACATACAAGCTACAATTCATGTGTTGGAAAGGTCGTATTAAAGGTGTAAACACTTCAATATGCTCGCTCTGAGCAGTCAATGCAGCAGTCCTCAGTAATTCAAGTGGAAGGAAGCACGACTGTGTTCTTGACTGATGGCTCCACATTGATCTTTGGGGTGTCTGTGTGTGCCTTTACTGTTTTTTAGATGACATGTAAGCTTCATGCCTGTTTTCACTTGCACTGGAGGGGAGTCCCAGCACCTCAGTGATGAATAGCTTTTTCCACACCTCTGTGCACTCCACGCCTGCTCAGTGTCATTGCTACAGCAGAAAGATGGAGATTTAGGCAGAGACAAATATCAGGATAATCGTTAAAGCATGATGGAGAAAAAGAGCCCGTCTTGGTCCAGTGTAACGGTTGTAAAGAGTTATGTCAGAGTCACTTCCCTCTGTTCACCTGTTTTTTGGTTGTTTTCCAGCTCTTCCTGTTCCAGTTGCTGAGAGGTCTGTCCTACATCCACCAGAGGTACATTCTTCACCGTGACCTGAAACCCCAAAACCTCCTCATTAGCGACACTGGAGAGCTGAAACTCGCCGACTTTGGTGAGCAAATTCAGTTTTTTTGTCAGAGATAAGAGTACGTGTGAAACTTCGAGATGAGGCAGATTCTCGTGTGGTGGTGAAACAGTTAGTCCAGCATTTATCTGCAGTCATTACTCGTGTTATATGCACACTGCCTGTTTGAGTTGTTCTTCATTATCTTCAGTCTGCTTTAAAGGAGCTCTTTAAATTATGTGTCTTAACATTAACTGTTAAACACACCAGAATAAAATAAATAAATTCAGGTTGGAGATTCACTGCTGCTGCTGTGCTCTCCCGAGCTAAACATAGAGGCTGCTTGTCAAAGCTGATGTACAAAAGGAAACTTGCTGTGAGTGGAGCTGATGTTGCGTTTTTCTTCCTACACGAGTTAAATTGTAGTTATAATTTGAATTTGGTGTCACATGATCACGGTGAACAGGCAGGTGCTTCTGCTGAGCTCCTTCCACTGTGTCACACCCACATTTTAGCATTCTTTGACGTTAGCATCCTGTATAATCATCCATGCATTTTGTTCTCCCAGCAGCTTCCCAATATTTCAGCATCCTGCTGCCTTTTCCTTAAAAGTCCTGAGGAGACAATGGTTAGATTTTTAGCTTCCCCGGCAGTTTACGACTCCAGTATCGTGCATTAGAACAGCGGTTCTCAAAGTGTGTAGCGAGTTCTGACAGGTGGGCCTCAAGTTACCTGGCAAAACGTCATCAGAACTAATGTTTAACATCAAAATCACTTTTACAGCAGAACATAAAATTCACAGCAGTTACGTTAATGATAAGAGCATCTGCTGCATCTGCTGCATCTGCTGCAAAGCTACAGCCGTGTGTGTAAGTCGACGGCCGCAATAAAGAAGTGTACTGGAAAGTGCGAACATGTGGTCGGGTCTGTCGTGCATCGTTTACAGTGGTGCCGAAACCCAGGATTGGGGCATGAGAGACCCAACCTGAGTTCTTTATTGCAGCTGTCGACTTAAACACGCGGCTGCAGCTTTTCGGTTACAGGCTACACACATCAACAACAACAACAGGACCCAGTTCACTCTGTTTGAAGCTGGCGAGGCGTGATTGTGGATGCCGCTCAGCATTTAAACACTGAGATTTATTAACAAGTCTCGGACTCTGTGGCCTATTAAAGCTGACACTCGACTCCGCACAAACACAGGAGAAAGCCTCACATATCCTCGAAAAGTCTAAACATGTCACAACTGAAGTCATGATCACAACCAGGAGTCAAAGTGGGATTTGGCAGGTGAGTGGACCCTAAGATCTCGTGGAGCGCTGCCGCTGGGGAAAATGATCTCGTTATAAATAACTGCCAAATTAATTTGTGCTGCGTGCTCCTCTGCATTTGTTTTCTGTGTGGACGAGCTGTGATCAGCTCTGAGATTTGCAGCTCTTTGTGGATTTGTCCAACTGCATTGTGCAATATATAGGCAGATGTCACATGAGCTGTCCTGGCTGCTCTCCCACCTCGTTCCCAGGATAAACCTTGGGTAATGGTGGAGTTTGGCAAGTGTGACTAAAGAGCATCATCAGCTCAAATGCAAAACGATGACTGCTACGTTCAGCCTAACCTAACAGTAAACATGGAAACCACAATCTCCACTGCAGCAGTCAAACACACAGTCCACAGTGTAATCGTTACCATGCAACTGCAACTTTGTTGACAACTGTGTGCATGAGTGCACGACAGAGAGGAGGATGTGTGACGTGTGCGTGGAGGGCTGCAGGGTGGCGTTGCTCTGGGATTTGTTGAGTGAGCGTCATCAACTGCAAACAGCCAGGCTCCTGCATATGAAATGTGTGCTTTATGGTATAACATATTAAACTGCGTATCAGATTTAATTACACAGTAACTGGAGGAGCCTTTCCAAGTCATCATCATCTTCCAGTAATTTAAATCTGTATATTTAGCATGTGGCTAAAACAGACCCAAACCTAACCTTACCCAGGTCACTGGTGACCTGCCTGAAGTTAAGAGATTAAAAACATCAGGAACAAATTATTAAATGAAGTGTGCACAACTACACAGTGTGCAGGAGGAGAGTGCAGACAGTGAAGCTGTCAGGTTGCAGGCATGAAAGGATGAACTCAACAGGCAGCTGTAGCAAAAACAAAATCCAAAATCAGAAAACTAGAAACTAAGGACGAGGAACAAAGACAGTAGGAAACTATACTGGGAAGCTAGAAGCAAGGATGACGAGGAACAGGGAGGAAGCACACAGCACATGGGAGTGGCACGACACGACAAAGGGCAAAGTAAAACACAGGACTTAACTATACAAGGGACTAATGAGGGAATGGGAAACACTGCTGGGACTAATAAGACATACGGAGACAAGAGAGAGCAAAACTAGATACACTGACATAGGACAAGACTTTCAAAGTAAAACAGGAAACACGAGACAATCGCAAAGACAAGACTGGACCCTGAGACAGAGACGCGACTGACTGGGAAGACAGAGGGAACATGAGAAAGGCAAAGAGACCAAAATCCTAGGATAACACAAGCAGAACCAAAACCTATAATCAAACAATATGACTAAGCACACACGAAACAATGGGTCACAGACACAGTGCTGTGACAGAAGCTTCAAAATCCACTATAGATCAAGTTAAATACACTCATTTATTTCAAGTAAGAACATTCTTTGCATTTGCAGTGCTCAGTGTCCATCTCTGTAACCTGTTTTTGTTGCTGTTACTTATGTATGTTAGCCAAACTGTGCAAGACGGGGAGCCACACAGATCATGTTGGGTATAACAAGTATGACTGCTACATTTATCTTAGCCCAAAATCGTGTGTGTGTGTGTG